GGGGGGGGGGGGGGGGGGGGGGGGGCGGGGGGGGCGTCCAGCGTATTTTTTTTGTTTGTGTTTTCCGAGATGTCAGTATGTATGCCCACCCCGCGCGAATACACGAACAGATCACTAATAGGCTGTCACGGGATGAAATTTTGCGCGTTCCAGGGTAGAGGATTGCGCTGGCTATCTTGTCGTTTTGACCCTTGTCCTACTGCCTGATGTTGTGTCGAGCCCGCGATCCCGGTAGAGTCGCCTCTCTCTCTCTTTCCCGCGTCTCTGCTCTCTGTCTGTGTGTGTCTCTCTCCCTGTGTGTGTGGTGTGCTCTAACGGTACCGAAGAGGAGGTGCTGGATCGCAGAGAGAGTGTTCCGGTTCATGTCTTGCGAAATTTTGTTATCCTACAGCTTGCGAACGGTTTTTATCCTACAGCAACAATAAAACACATACAGCAACGACCGCCAGTTACGCCACCGCCACGGGCGCGTGTTTACGCTTGGAAACAATCGCAGGTTAAGGTCAACGACAAGTGCGAGTTCCCGATGGAGCTGGACATGCGCCCGTACACCAAGGAAGGTCTCGCCCGACAGCAGCAGCAGCAGCAAGAGGAGAAGGGCGGAGCAACCTCAACCGGTACCGCGAAGGTCGGAGGGTCTCCCAGAGAGGAGGAAGGGGAGGCTTTCCCCGACTCGTACTACGAGTACAAGCTCGCGGGCGTCCTGGTGCACATGGGAACGGCCGACTCCGGCCACTACTACAGCTACATCAAGCGCAGGGACACGCAGGTTAGTCGCATGGGGAGTGCGTTTTCATACGCGAGCATGAGCCTCGGCTTGTTGTTTGTGACCCAGGCTACTGCATGCCATAGCTTCGATTCGCGCCTATTGATTTGACACACAGCAAAAGCACGGCTGTCCCGCAAGAGATACCCTTTTTTGTGCTGGATTTGTTGCGGGTTTTAGTTGCGTCGTTTTATCCTCGCTCTCACTTCCAGTTAGCGTTTTCTTTACTCTTGGCCCGCATTCTGTTAGCCGATTAAAGCATGGTGAAGAGGGCACGACGCGTTTCAAGCTGTTGTTAACCTCATGTGACTCCGGCACCTTCCCTCAAACCAAGACGTCTGCCTCTCTCGACATGTGATCCCCCTCCTACTGCTGCTCCTCCCTTTGACACCGGCACCTTCCTCAAACAACACGTTCCCTCTCTCTCAACACGTGAACCCCCTCCCTCCTCCTGCTGCTGCTGCCGCCGCTACTGCTGCTTGCTGCTACTGCTACTGCTGCTGCCATGTCCGGCCAGGGAGGCGGCGACATCCCGGCCTCATGGTTCTGCTTCAACGACGCCTCGGTGACCCCGTTCGATCCGGATAGCCTGGGCATGACCTGCCACGGGGGTTACTCCATCAGCCCCACCGGCCGCGGCCACACGCCCAAGCAGTTCTCCGCCTACATGCTCATCTACGAGCGCGAGTTCATCCTGCCGAACCCAGCGCCCCCGGCCACCCCATCTCCGACGGCGGATGCTGCCGCGGTGCCTCACGACGGCGGCGGCGAAAGATCATCGGGAACTGTCAGCGGCGGCGGCGTTGCTGCCTCGCCTTGTGGAACGCCGTCGCGAGCCGCCGCGGCCGCCGTCGCCGCGGCGCCCTCAAGCGATGGCGCCGTAAAAGCGGCTGCGGTTGCTGTTGTCGCAGACTCCTCTGCTGCGGCCGGGAATAAAGGAGAGGCCTTGCGTGCCCCCCGCCTCGGGGGAACCCCCGCGGAAAACGGCAAGCCGACGGGAGTGGAGGACATGGAGGTCGAGGCGGAGGAGGAGGCGGCGGGTGGGGGGGGAGGGGGGGGGGGCAAGGGCGACCCCCAAAAGGCGGCGACCAGAGAGTTCGTAGCGGGGGGAAACGGGGAGGCGGTGTCACTGGGGGGGGCGGGGGACGAGTGGGAACCCCCGTGGATGGGAGTGCCTCGACCTTCGGAGCTCGTGCCCCCTTCGATTTTCCAGGTATTTTGGTCTCTTTTAGGCAGAGGGGGTACAGGAGAGAAGGGGGGCACGATTGATCTTGTCATGTGTATTTTGCATGTTTGGGGCCAATATCGTGTCGTTAATCCACCGGGTCCCCATCTTTCCTGCAAAGGAGGCCCGGGGTTTTCCCTTCCTCGTTGAGCGAGCGCTCTTTTGTTTGTAGCGTGTGGTGAAAAGGGCAAAGGGAGCGTCCGATTTTTCCGTGCGGAGCCTGTGTTTTGTGTGCAGGAAGTGGCAACGGTCTATCTTGCGAGAAATATACAGTGCGAGGGCCGTCACGAACGTACCTGCCGAATGTGAAAGGTTTGGTTAGCCGGGATGCCGCATCAACCCATGGCACATATATCTGGTTTGGAACAGCAAACGCAAGGATGATGACCAGCTTCTGGTTCATCCTTGTCTTGTGAAACGTAGATAGCCGGGCCGGCGAAAACCCGGCATGTCGCTCCGTCCCGGCATTGTAGTGATGCGAGCTAACGAACATGCATGTACGTGAGTACCCCCCCCCCCAACCCCCCGCTCGCGCGCGTAAACAAAAAAACGCCAGGCCTGCTGGATGGAAAACCGCCTCTTCCTGATGGACAAGAACGTCTTCAGCTCCGAGTACCTGGACTGGGTGTGCGACCTGACGGCGCTCGTGCCTCCCCCCAGGGTCCCGCCGAGCGGCAGCGGCAGCACCGAAGGCGCTCGCATCGCCGCGGGGGGGGACGACGTTGACGAGGTGGAGCTTTCGACGGCAAAGGTGGCGCTGTTTTTGGCGCTCGACACGGTCGCGCGAGCTAAGGACAAGGAGAGGCTGTCCCAGCTGATGGGGTATGCCAAGAGGTGGTTCCGCTCCAGCCCGACCGTGTGCCGGTGGGCGCTCGAGCAGGCGAGATATTGTTTGCTAGGGTTGTTTACAAGGGGTCGGTGGTATTGGAGCTGCTGTTGGTGGTGCTGCTGCTGGGCTGCTGCTGCTGCTGCTGCTGCTGCTGCTGTTGTTTTATGTTGCTGCAGCCTTGATCTTACAACTGTTTCTGGGCAGTGCATTCTCTTGCAAAACAAAGCGACGAATTTCCGTACCCACTAGCTAGCACAAACGAAGACAAGAAAAAAGTAAGACCGACGGAGTGAGTCCCACGGCGCATAGCCTATGGTGCACCGCAAGCCGGCTGGTGGAGATGGCGGCACCGCCCCCCTTCGAATTGGCATTTTTTCCCCATGGAGGCATTCTTTCCACGTTCGACCGCGCGAGAACCCACCGTCAGCGAGCAGCAGGCACACTCTAATGATGCCCTGCCCCCCCTCCCCCCCCCCCCTCCTTGTCCCCCATCTCGGCTCTTGAACCGAAACAACACTATCAGATGACGGCGAACAACTACTGGCAGCACACCATGCTGCTCCGCTGCAGCCTCCAGGGGGTGCGTTTCGAGTTCCTGCACCTGTGCGTCGACCTTGTCCGGTCCTACGCCCCCTACGAGCGACACAAGTACTACGAGGAAGACCCCTCGATCGGGGCAAACCTCTACCTTGCAGCCGTCAGGCAGCAGCAGCAGCGGAAGGGGGAGCGGGGACGGGGGGAGGGGGGCGCGGACGGCGGTGGCGGGGGGGGTGCCGGCGGCGGCGCGAGTTCGGCTCGGGGAGTGGCGGCCGGGGATCCTCAGGTGTGGTTGGGTATGAAGTCGATGTTGCTGTGTTCGTTTTGTTTTTTGAAAGGTTGTAGTTTTGGGTGTAGTGGAATTATTGGTGGTGGCGGCGGCGATGGTGCTGTCGTTGTGGGGATGTTGATGTCCGTATCGGGCTGGGGACACGGATGGCTTGAGCATGCAATCTCAATCAACCGCGTTGGTGCATTTTGCAAGAGATGGGAATCAACAACGATCGAGAAAAGGGAAGGAAAGAAGGGCGACGACGAATATTTTTCGTGTTTTTCTTCAGCGCCCGATCAACAGTCTTGCCGCAATTGGAGCAATAGCGGTTGGTTTTCCATCTGTTTGTATTCTTGAGCCATGTGGTCTTTTGGCCGAAGCTGCCTTGTCGGGAGAACCCCCGCCATCTTCATCGCGTTTTACGCTGATGCCACTACTGCTGCTGCCGCTGCTGCTGCTGATGCCGATGTTGCTCCCCGATTGCGTCGTATGCTAGGTGACGCCGGGCCGAATAGGGGTCAGCGGGGGCGGCGGCGGGGGCGGCATGACAGTCATGGACGTCATGCGCGAGTCCGAGAAGGCGGTGATGTCTGAAACCATGACTTCTGCGGAGGTAGATACATGGGGCGATGCTCTTCCTAGTCTAACAATAATTTTTCACGCGCGCGACTTACGAACGAGTTTTATGAAGGGGCGGAATTCGTCTCCCGATGGGCGACCTCCGCAACTGTGTACACACAGCAGTTGGGTGCCCTCAATCGTGCGGGCGTGTGCCAAGCGCTTTCATCTACTATAGCTGGTACCCGCACTATATTCAACGTATAAACGGATCTTGATATATTTTTCCAACGGTGCCAGCCAATTTTACCCGCAATATACCGGGCACCCGCTCTAAAGGGGGCATCCGACCAAAGATCGTTTCTTTTCGACGGAAGTTATGCACCAAGCACAGCTGCCGGTTCATGAACAACAAACGTATTTCTCGCGTGCTGCGCCGTACCGCAGGCCGTCTTGGCCAGCGCTGGGTTGTCGACCAAGGACAGCACGGTGGTGGTGCCGGCGGGGCAGTATCGGCGGATGGGAGGAGTGTTGGGCTCGGAATCGTCGTTCTCGTCTAACGATTCTCCCGGCTCTACTGGCGGCAGATCTGATGTGTGTTTGTCTTCTTTTCTTGTCTTTTGTCTTTTTCTTCGTTCTTTTTTTTCTATTTATTTTTATTTTTATTTTTTTAGTATGTAAACACAACGAATCCATCTCTATCCATAGATGAGGGTCCAGGATGAAGTAGCAATGAACCCGTAGCGCTGTCTTGTTTTGTATTTTTTGTTGCACAGTGTTGTTTCTACAATAGGCAACTTGTATTCGTTTCTGTAATGTAACGATTTTCAGTTTTTTTTTCGTGTGCGTGTTGTCTTCGGTTTTTATCGGTGTATTTGGTTTGGTCATCAGTCGGGGTTTTTTAGCGTTCCGAAGAGACAAATCGACGTGTGCGATGTAGAAGGCAATCTTTACCGCCGCCCCCCCCCCCCCCCCCCCCAAAACCCAAAAAATTTTAAGAAGCAAGCCCCAATTAACCTGGTGAAAACAAACAATTCCCT